CCAAAAGTCAGAGCCTGCCTGGGGCCCACAGCCCCAGAGTGTGCAGGGCTGCCCTCACCCAGCCCCACCACCATCTGGGGTCACAGGGACATCAGAGAGGACAGATGTGGTCAGCCCTGCACACAACTGTGCAATGACATCCTTCCATTACCCATGTTAGTGACAGCACCAAACACACCCAGGCTTATAGAGAGAAGAAACATACATGCTTACATGCTGCTCATAACCAACACATTATTTAAGCACTTAAATTACCATAAAATTCTGATCTAGAATAGATGCTAACAACTGTTATGCTCTAGGTTTGAAGCACTGCCTCTCTTTGTCAGAAGTGGCAGACCAAACCCAGCTGCCATGCCCTCCTGTACAACAGTGGAAAGGCAACAGGAGCTGGTGAGAAAATAAGCCAGGGCGGCTTGCAGCGTTCAGGTTCCACGTTAGCATTCCCTTTGGCTTACATAAACTCCATAACCACTGGATAGCTCCACAGGTATAATCTTATCACATGCAGAGACAAACACTGCCCTGCCAATCCTTCATTGCCCCACAGACTGGCATGGCAGAGAGAAAAAACCAATACTTTTTAACTGTACTGCCAGATTCTGTCTAGGAACAGTAAGGATTTAGCCATCAGTTGTGAAGCAATTTATATTTTCTTACCTGTAGCTTAAAATAAACATCTCCACCACTTCCAGGATGCTCAGCACTAAGTCATACCACCACGAGTTTAACTCACGTTTTGAAAAACATGTATTCATATTTAATCATTAGTACCTTGCTGCTTAGACAACTTCTGCAGCACTCTAAAGAAATCTGTTGCTAAACCCAGAAGAAAAACATACCTCCTCCAACAGCACACACACAAAGTAATAAGGAGCTCTTATGTCACCAACAAAACAAAGGCAATGCAAAAACAAACATGCAAAAGAAAACAAACCCTTACCTCATGTTTCACGTTCCCGTGCTCTGAAACATAAGTAAAAATTGGCATTATTGGTGGTTGCAAAGTGCACACCTTTTGTAAAGCAATCTCAGTCTGTGCTGTGTGGCATTACAGAAAACTCTGCTGCTTTCTTTAGCTACCAGGTACCTGCAGCCGCCCCACAGGTCCTGTTGTGCAAACCCTGCTGCTCTCATTGGCCCTGCCTGGCTGCGCCCTGTGCTGGGGCAGCCTCCTGCTGCAGGGTATGCAGCACGCTCCAGCAGGCTGGGACACTACACCTTACCAACTTCTAGAACACTGCAAAAATACTCGATAAATATTGACTCATTCCAAATTCAAAGCTACAAGTTCTTCACTGCGAGTTTACACCTTTGCTTGCCTATGTCTTTTCACAGTGTAGCAACATGTATTAAAATAAGATATATGCCTTTAGCTTCTAAGGATTTCATGTCTTAGTTTGATTCAGCATTGCATTAATGTATCACAGGCTGAAGCCGTTGGTGGTTTATTTGCCTTCTTTTCTATAAAGTTTATGGTACTACTTAAAACTTAGGAAAAAATTAAATCATGCGGGAGATCAGAAGGACTGCATAGAGACAGTAACACTTCAGCACACACACACCACGAAAGACAAAAAGGGAATTGTTTTTTTTACATGTCCTTTGAGTGCCTCATCTGATAACAGGTATTTGGGTGTACTCTGTATTTTGAGTCAGTGCATTACCAAAGCACACACAGCTGCATTTACCCGTGTGCATTTTCTAGCACTACACAAGCTGCTGAGGCAAAGCACAAACTGCACGTGCCTGGTCTTTATGCACTTCAGAACACTTGAAAACTTGTACTATTACACTAAAGAATAGAATATATTACATATTCTAAACAGGAAGGCAGATTCCCACTAAATCAACTAATAAGTTTTAGCTGCAAGTAGATTTTAGTCTGCTAAAAAAAGACTACAATAAACAGTTAAGTGTGGGAAAACAGAATCTCTGGCTTTCTAACACTTTATGCAAAGATAAGGCATGCTGAGACCAAGCACAGCAACTGCAGACGCTGGGCTGGGCCACAGAGACACAGCCTCTCTACTGCTGGCAGAGAGCTCCTCACGTACACCTTCAGCCACCACTTCACTCTCACACAGTGCTCCAAACACACCTCAGCTTGTCATCTACAGAAAACACTCTTATGATTATAACCTTTCCAAAAGTATTAACTTGCATTTGTATAGTGAGCAAAGAGAAGAAAAATAAGCCCTCCCATAGGCAGAGATGCAGATACACTGCTGAGGTTTTCTAAGGAGACTGAGGGAATTAGTTGCCTAAGTGCTGCTGAAATTCACTGTAATTTGGGTATTTTGCAATATGATACGCCTTTCAGAATTTTTGCCAAAATCTGAATAAAATTACCTTTTTGAATGCTTGAGCTCAGCATTATGAATAACTTGAAATGAAGGAGAGACATATAAGTAAATCCTTGCAAAGGAGACCAAGACTTTAAATCCAGACTTGGGGGGTTTCTTGATTTTTGTTTTTTTAAGGCAAATATTTATTTCAGCAGATCTTTTATCGAAAAGTTGAAATGGAAATGTCATTCTATTCTCCAATGGGAATGAATGAATCTGATTTTTAAAGGTTGCTCCTGAATATTAGTTTTATCTAGGAAATTTCCCAAACCCAACTAGATGAGTTAATTCCATGTGGTGCCCAGAGCATCCCAAAACTTTCCATAATAAATAATTTTCAAACTATGTGATTAACTTTCAATAACTGAATAAGTGGACAAAAGAAATTGCTATATAGGAAGGTAATTAGTACTCCTGATAACTCATGTAAATAAATTTCATTTAAAAAGAGCTGGGGGGATTTTGATCAATCACAAAATCCAAAACTTTGCCATCACAGATGAACCAAAATGCCATTTGTGACTTCATTACCTAACAGAACAAATATCCAGTATCTGTACTTTCACATAAAGCCTATTGAAAACATGAGGCTTATTCTTGTCTTGTTATCTCATTACAGTTTAAATATTCCTGTATTTCAGAATATTCTATATTGAATTATGTGAATCATTTCCTCATGAGACCCCTCTATTCCAAACATTACACAGGAGCAAGAAAACTCTTATTTCTATTTTTTAAAAAATTTAATGTCTGAGTATATCCACCAGCAGCTATTTCACACATGACAACTTGAATTCAAGTTCCTGCCCATCACCAATGTGCCAATGAAATTATCGACTGAGTCCTCAGTTCTGACATCCAGTTACTTTACTGACATAGTTCAGCACAATTTGGGGTGGTTTTTTGTTTATTCACTGAGGCCATGTTACCATTGGGTCACATTTTGATAATTACATTTTACTACAGAAGCAAGGAGAGCAGCAGCTGGCCACAATAAGTGCAGGAGTGCAGATCAGAAAATGAGAATAAGCTGCTCCTCAGGGATACAACAGAGCAGCTGGATTTACACACTAAGTAAATGGAGAGTAAATAAAAAGGATCTGTAATAAACTACTTACCTTTTTATTTTAAAAGAAAACTCACAATATTTAAAATGCAGGGACTATAAAGTCAGTCACTTGGAAGCAGCTGTGGGACTACCTGTTCCTTTCCAGTCATTTAGCCAGGCATTGCAAAATCAGAACAAAATTAGAAATGTGACCTAGATGTACCATAGTGTAAGACCCTGAAAAATATCAAACCCCATAAGTGACTTTTGTTCAGGTTGAGCAAGGATGGTTAAAAAATACAGCTCAACCTTTGTTGCAGTCTTTAAAAAAAAAAAAAAAAAAAAAAAAAAAGGTGGCATAACCCCATTGAACTTTCCGTGATTTGAGCATTTGCTTGTCAGTTTGGTTGACGTAGGAGGTTTGGAGCAGAGCCAGCAACTTTGCAACTATTGATCAAGTCAGCAAAACGTACACAGTGAAAGCTGCTGTTTCTTTTTGGATGTCAAGACCAAGTGCTTTTCCAATGTGCTGTAGCAAGCAATTATTACATAAACAGCATGGACCGTATTTTATTGGGCATACACACTACCATATGAAAGCAACTCTAAACCCATTCATATGGCAACATTTTCTTTCAAGTCCATCATGCAGTTGAAGAAACTTATTTTACACTTAAGGAAATGCAGTACTTTTACAAATGGCATTATCTGAAGGAGAAAGAAATCATGCCTAAGTTAACTAAAATTTACTCTAAAATGACCAGTTAATGTTTTTCTAATCCATTTATGACCTGATGAGACATGCCTCTAACATTCCCTGAGAGACGCAATATAAAGAGAAAAATTCTGTGGGTTTGGCACTATATTTGAAATATTCAAAACATTTTCAGATTGTACAACCATTATTGGAGGTTTCTCTAATTGAAATATTCAATAGTCTGTGGAACCAGCAGACATTTGCCTGAGAATACTTAATTCAATATAATTAGATGGACTTGGAAAAATTCCAATCTGGAAACAGAAAAGAATTGTTAATTCTGCTGCTTTAGACTAGGGAACAGACTGGAGTTCTGCAATATTCTGGGTAGAGTGATACTGTTTTATCGATCCTGAGGCCTCTGAAGAACTGCAAGGGGTACAGAATAAACTGTACAATGGAAGTGGGAATAATGAGGGATACAGCTTCTCCCTTTGTCTACTACAGGTGTGTCTTGCTCATGCTTGTTTATCAAAGGCCTCACTCAACCATTTCCAAATATAAACCCTTCCAACCAGTGCCAAGGTGTGTCTTACTCATGCTTATCAAAGGCCTCCCTCAACCATTCCCAAATATAAACCCTTCCAACCAGTGCCAGAGCATCAACAAATAAGTGAAATTGTCCTGTGCCATGAAATATGAGACAGGAACAAGGTTGATAAGCCAAAAGAGGTAGCAAGGGAAGAGGAGACCTCAGCCACCAGAAAAAAGAACACCATATGCCCTTATAACTGGCCTGTCAGGGAAATATGTGCATCCATTTTTGTAATCCTTGCGTTTAAGGATTTCATACAGTCTTGGGTTTAAGACTGCAATCAGACTCAAAGGAGTTTATCAGAAGGTTAGTGAACAAAAAAGAAAAAGGGCATGGCTGACTTCACCTCACAGAAAGATTAAATTATAGGGCAAGAAAGGTAAAATAAACACATACAGGACAGCATTTGGGGGAGGGGAAGGGTAGGTTAAATCGGTAATGGCAAAAACAAGCACAGAGGACTTCAACCAGCACTGCAGATTTACAGCAACGAGGGCAAGAACAGCAACCAAGAAAACCCAAGGGGTAAATGCAGACATTTTGTTCTATTTATTAATTCAACTGATTAACTCCACAATCTTTTATCATTACAATTTCTACACTCTGCTGAACTGGCCTTCTTTGAAGCAAAACATCTGAAGAGCTGGCATATGTTTGCATATAAGGCATAGCATGAGAACACAGCAATTTATCTTCAGATTTTGTCAATGTTTCTCTCACAAGTGTATCATCTAAATCTGACACTTAATAATTTTGTCATTCAAAAGGTTTTATCTGCCTTGGGATATCTGTCTGTGACTGGGAATGAAATACAAAAAGATTTAATCCACTCAGGGAGGTTCTAAGCATCATTTCAGAAAGGCTAGCAAAAACACCCTTATGCTCAGGGGTCCATAAGAAAAACAGAATCTTAAACTGTACCAAACCAGAAAATGTTGAGGAAAATTCAAATGCCTTTAAGAAATCTAATGGTATAGTCCCACTGCAGTGTTTTGAACTCCAATCACCTCTTTTCAAATAGACTCCTAGAAGTAGAAGTGGTCTACAGAATGGGAATGAAAATTATTTGAAGCATGGAAAAAATTCCACTTCTGAAAAGATAATAAAAAAATTTAAGACTATTCAGTTCAGAGAATAGTCATGAGAAGCTATTAAATAATTTATCATAGAGAAGCATTCAGTCAAGACTTCCATTGAGTCTTCTCACAAAAAATAAGTCGCATGTTGCATAGAAAACTCACTGTTCCAACACTTCTGAAATATAGTTACATATTTCCAAACAGGGAAGCTATGCAAAAGCATTAACAAGACAGAAAAACTCTTCAAACACCAAAAAGGATAGAAATAAAATTTAACAGGATCAAAGAGAGAGAGAGAGATTCCATGTCTGTGGCCATAACTAATACCATATGCCTGGGGAATGATAATGTCCAGTTTCCCAAAAGGATGGTTGTTTTCCCTGTCCATTATACCCTGTGAAGAAGGCTATAATAGTCCCATAGAAACAAAGAAACAAACGAAAAAACACACATAGCAATATGACAAATGTTCCAGGCATTTTGCTACTGCAGAAGCATTTCAGCTATGCTCCACAATTTCTTATCTAATAGCACTCCCAGGCCACCTTTGTTAATTTCCCACAGGAGCAGCAAATGACACCACTAAAAGAAATTACATTTATCATGAATTAATTTCTCTAGAGTCTTCAAAAGCAAAGTATTCTAAATTAAATTCGTGTTAGAATTTTGTGCTCGTAGAGCATACTTTTTCTGCAAAATTCAGTAAAAATACTGAATTTTGCATTATGTATTTGTGTCTGCATTGCTTTAATAACATTTCAGGTAATGGCAGGTAACTTACAGGAGGTCTCATTTCTCCCTGAAATAGTTAAAACATTCCTCTGGAAAATAATTCATACTCAAGTTGCACTAACCAATATTTCAGAGTCTCTTTCTGGACCACACAGGGAAGCAGGAACTGGTAAAGCTCCTTGTTAAACCTTTCCTTACTCTATTGCACATTATGAATGGGCAGCACTGCTCAGTCAACACTTGATTCTTTGAAAAGCAAATAAAGAGTAAAAGCAGAAAACAGCAGAGAAGACTATGAGAACTTGCCTTCCTGCTCATTGGCTGAAATCCCTTTATCAGGTGGAGAGATGACACACCTCCAGCAAACTAAGCAAAACCCTTTGTACCTTCCATTCTCATAGTTTGATAAAGCAAGGGGGAAGGATGGCAACAACTGTAATTTAGAGTTAGCTACTGCAGCTCTGATCTACTCTCAGAGCAGGCTATAAGGAAGGCACAGCTTCGCACCTCCTGCCATTCTGCCTGATGAGCAGGTGGAAGATCCACAACTCTCCCATCTTGTACTAGGGCTACAGGAGTCTGGGAGCCTCTGCATATAAGAAAGGACAGAATGAATAGAGAAACTGGAGTCTGAAGAGAGAACAGCACGCAGAACACTTGGATGCAAGCAAAACACGTAACAAAACAGTATTTTAACAATCCATTTGCTTCTAAAGAATGACTTCTTATAGTATCATTTTACAAACATCAGGACAATGATTTGAAATAAAATCCAAAGTAACATTCTGCTCCTTTGAAGTTTTAAAATTCTAATTTATTTCACTCACAAAGAAGGAGAAATGTGATGTTTTTTCCTATTATTTTGTTCTCTTTAGCAAGTACCCAGCATTATTTAAGTATGTAGGAAAATTGTAAGAAATCAGACCTTTTGTTACCTAGGCATTTATGGTCATTCTTACTAATACATATTGCACCATATGCAGCCACAGATATTTACAGAGCAATAGAAAGACAAGCTCTTGCCTCCTGGGGTGCCAGCTATCCAATTAAAATAAAAACTACAAAAGTGATTAAAAGAGAAGATGCAAAACAAAGGAAAAAGTTGAAGTAGGGATGGTTCATACTACAGAATACTGTTCACTTGTGAAGAACAATGTGTGTTTGGTATTCCACTCCACTAATTTAAATTCAATTGATTTAAAACACTCACAGAATCACAGGACCATTAAGGTAGGAAAGACCTGTGAGGATCATCAAGTCCAACCTATGACCTACCACTACCATAGCACTAATATGTCCAATCTTTCCTTAAACACCTCCAGGGACAGTTACTCCACCACCTCCTTGAGCAGCCCCTTCCAATGTCTCATCACCCTTTATGTAAAGAAATTCTTCCTAATTTTCCTAGGAAAGGCCAAATAATAGCGCTACAGAAGTCCTCACCTACACAGAACTCTCCTACTGCCTCAGGAGCAAATGGTCAACAGTACATGTCCCAGTGCACTGAATCTATTTACAGGAGCAACCTCAGGATCCAAGGAACACCAAATCTGCCATGGATATTTCCCTGTGCATCAACAGTTTCCTCAATCAGGTGGATCTGTGCAGATTTATTTCACAACTCCTTTCATGTGGTTCTCTTCACTGTGATTTGGGCAAAATAAGCCATCCCAGTTCTTGGCTTTTTCCCCCCTGTATTCCCTGCTGCTTTCCTAGGGGACACCACAGGCTCTTGGCTGAGCATTGCCTGAGTGATTTTCTTCATTGATCTAGCAGTAAACTGTGCCTAGTCATAAGCTGTAACAGCTTCAACTACAAGCTTCCACAATGAAGTGAAAAAACTCTAATTGATGTTATAACCAAAAGGGAATAATTACAGCCATCTTGTGCCAGGGAAATACCTCCTGAAGCCTTTTGTTGTCAGAGGTCCCTGTGAGGAAGGCACCCACATATAAATCAGGACAAGGTTTAGAGCTTACACTATTACTTCCAAGAGCTGATGATTGTATTCTCTCCTTTCAGAAAGTGAAAACAGACTCATTCCTCCCCAGCAATTCTCAGGCCTTTCAAATAAATTAGTGCCTAACTTTAGAAACAGCAAATTGGGTACTTTACCCTATAAATGTTTCTAAAAGGAATTCAAATAAAAGTAAAAATAATTAAGTCAACAAATTTTTGCAAACAAATAGTTCTAAGCTGTGCATCAGGGCCTGCTGGTGTGTGATTCCTAGGCTGGTTGTGCCTGTGCCTTCTTCAGGCAAAGCCTCCTGCTCTCTCTGTTCTTAATATTATAATATATATTCTGTATTTTAATATTAATATATTCCATTTCTAATAGAATTTTAAGTACTTATTTTCTTTAGAATATCTGTCGGAGGTTCTGTGAAAAACTTGTGCTCCAAAAAGGATTTCAAGTGATTGCTTATATGGTTTTCAGATCTACAAAAGACTAAACAGAGTCCAGACTTGGAGGACAGCATGGAAGATCTCCAACACAGAAAAATCAGCTGAGGGGAAAAAAAACTTCACTGACTGCAGCAAAAGTCAGTACCTCCCATCCTGATGATTTCAGGAAAGAATGAGGCAGGCAAATAGAGTGAGTCAAAAGCCAAGCAGAAGTCAGAAAGTAATGCAAACAAGGACAAGAACAGAAACAAGCTTACACAACATTGCAAAATGCTGTTGCACTCTCTCCCACTGCTTGAATTACATGATGACTTCACCCAATGCTCTTTGCTAAGCTGCTGTTTCAAGATTTTGACTCTAGCTTGTTGTTCCTTTCAAAGATTGTAGATACTAATGTCAAAACCAAAATAACCCAATGGAAGAGGTTGCAGTAGCTTATGTGATGTATGTGAAACATGAGGCACTTCACAAGCTATTATGAAATAATTCTGAAAAGACAAGTCACAAGGACAAATAATTAGAGATATCCCCAACATATACAACTCCACTTTACAGAAATCATCATGTGTTCAGTAGCTTTTCTCTTTCAAGCACATTCAAACAACAGCAATTCAAACTCATCTCTAGAAAGAAGAAAGAACTGTTAAGAATCTGGAGAGAGGGAAGAGTCAAAAAACGGCACAATTACGTGACTACCTACAGAAGGGAAGGCCAGGACAATGAAGAGAGCTAACATTTAACATTAGTAGTGGAGATTCAGAAAATATCAGGAAGATTTACAGGTACAATACTCAGCAGAAGTGGAGTATGTCACATTTCTGGAGTCATTTGAGAGAGGCCAAATGGCAGTTGAAGTCTAAAGAGACCTTAAGGTCCCAAAGAGCAGCTCAACAGGGGAAGAGCGAAGTGACAACAGCCAGGCAAGAAACTCAGAGAGTACAGGAATCAATTAAATAAAAAAGGGGAAAAAAAAATCCTTAGATGTGTAAAGTAGAGAGCCATCAATCACCTTTTTGTGAATATTGTGAGTGGACAGAAACCATGGAAACCAAAGAGATGAAAGAGGAAGCTGAGGCAACACAGACAAACAGCTTTAGGAACTGAGAGGAAAATATGAAAATTGACATAGAAAAGGGAGAATCACAAGGATGATAGATGATGTGCTATACAGTAGGTGTTACATATGAGTAGTATACAATTGAAACGAGAGCAATTCCTTGTTGTATACGACATTGACAAAGAAATTGGGTTTGACCTGTAACAGTTCTCTCCTGCTTTTGAACATTTCAATTTAGTAGCAATAAAAATCCCTATGAATCCTAAATGCAATTCTAATTGTGCTTATAAATGGTAGTTTCACAAGTATGCATGTTACAATAAACACAAATTAGAGGTAAATTAAACCTTAATTATATCTAGCAAGTTTTATGTCCTAATTAAAAATGGTATTCTCACAATAAAAATGACTTACCACCTGAATTAGCTCTGCCACAATTGTCTAGTCTTCCTAAACATTCTTTGTGTGCTCCAGCTCCACACTTAGAACATAAATAGCCTTGATAAAATGTTCCCCTGTAAAATAAAATTAGGTAGTGATACATTAGAGGTGATAAATTCCACACATAAAGGACATCAGCGACATGGCAGAAGGTATTAGAAGTCATTTGCTATTCTGCATAATGACAGTCCTTAAAGGCTTGAGAAAAAGTGACAACTGACAAACAAGCAGCTCATCCACTTTTTGTCACCACTAGCCATTTAAAACTCACAACCAGATAGTTCTTCTGGACTACTGGTAGAACAACAATCTCCATTTCAATTTAATCCAAAACGACTGTGGCATAGTACACTTGAAATCATACCATTGTGTATCTATCCTACTACAGATCTATGCTTCATTTCATCTCCATGGGAATTTGCCTAGACACCATAAAGAGGAAGAAACATTTCAAGAGAGGTGTAAGCTTGAATATGTATATCAGCATTAAGGAGTTTATAGGCAATATTGCATATATTCTTGACTTTAAATCTGCTAATTTAAAAAAAAAAAGGTATTGTGCTATACTTCAATTAATATTCAGAGCTGCTAATTACTCTAAATGTCTATATACCACAATGTAGCACTTGGGGATACCCAAGCTATCTTCGTGCAAATTGGCATGTGTATGGAGAACAATGCAGCATCATGCTGGCTGTGTCCTGAATGTAAGACAGCTGTTTCTCAGCAACAGCAGCTAAGTTAGTGCAGAAACAGACACAATAACTCAACTATACTGCTTCAAATTCAGAAATCAGCCCTCCTGTCTAAGTTGAGAATGTCTGCACCATTCTTCATGGCCACTTAGACCTTATTGCATTGAGCAGGAAAAAAAAAAAATCTTAGAAGAAACAAAAAAGCACACTGAAAATCCAGGTCAGCATAACTGTTCAGGAAAAAAGGGTGCTAAAGAAAAAAAAGTAAAATCTATGACAGGGAGAAACATACCTGAAGTTATATTCTTCCATGCCTGTGCTTAACAAAAGCACTACCCATACTCAACTCCCCTTGATAAAATGCAGAGGCTACATATTTCAGAATATCAACAATATGCAACACAGAATCATAGAATAGTTTGAGTTGAAAGGGACCTTAAATATTACCTAGTTCCAATCCCCCTGCCATGGGTGAGGACACCTTCCATGAGACCAGGATGCTCAAAGCCCCATCCACCCTGGCCTCAAACACTTCCAGGGATGCAACTTCTCCGGGCAACCTGTTACATACACCTGAACTGGCCAAAATTTACAAAGCTTTTGCACCTGCAACTTACACTATGGAATTTCAGTTCAATACATTCCTCTATACCACTGGACATTTCATCCTAGAGGTCCTAAAAGACAGCTCAAAAAATGAATGGAGAAATGACACATATACAAGCATGAGAGCATTTCAGAGTTTCTTAGCTTAAGCTAGCCTTACAAATCTTTGTTCATTAATGCATTAGCTGTCTGCTACTATTTCTTACCTAGCTTTGCAATATCTGTCTTCCATTTGTCTACATATCTGGTTCAGAAATACCTGTTAACGCCTCACAGATATTTGCTCTCTCACAAAGCAAACCCCCCATAGCAAACATTTATGAGCATCATCATCACCTGACTTTCAGAAAAAAATATTCCATCTATTCTTGTGACTGGTGGCTTACAGGACTGGGCTCCATGGAACATCCAAAGGAGTCAGAACTCTACAAAATGCTTGCTCTTTCCTCTTACATGACAACTTGTGTGTTAAATAAAATATATCTCACAAAAGAATCATGACAAAGCAGTCTTATGATAAATGAGGAGCATCTTGAGATTTTGAGCTTTTAACAG